CTCCGGGGTTCAGGGTGGGAACGCAGTGCCAGGGAAGGGGCCGGGAAAGGGGGCTGCCGACACGCACACCCCTATTTCGGGGGGGATCCTGCCAATACTACTTGGAGGTTCATGGTATTTTGTAACCCAGTTATACCTGTAATTACTAAAACCCGATAGGGTACTTCTCACGGCTACTGAGTACCCTGAACCTCCAAGTATACAGGAGCAGCCGGGTTTCTTGCTGTCCTCATCCTTGTGGCCTGGGCACGGGCGTTTGAAGAGCGCAAGCAGTTGACATCTCGGGTCTGCGAGGTTCCCCTTGTTCAGGGACTAACCCTGAAGCCGGGCGACGGGGCAGGAGGGGGGGGGGTGGGGGGGGGGGGGGGGTTGGGGGGGGCGAAGGGGGGGGGGGGGGGGTTGGGGGGGCGAAGGGGGGGGGGGGGGGGGCGGGGTGGTTTTTGGTTTTGTTTTTTGCTTTTGATTGAAGATGTTGGAGCCCTTGTGGGGCTGCGGGTGCTGTTCTCTTGAAGCCTTTTGGCGCTTTGGGTTCAAGGAAGGATTAACTACTGTAGCCCCTCGAAATTACAAGTTCTTAGTGAATCACATACAACTTTCATTCATCCTGGCCCTGTCTTGTGCAGGGTTGAAGCTTTTAGGCGTTTAGGGGCTTAGGGTTTTTTAGGATTAGGCAGGGTTTAATGAAGGGGATCCTTTGGAGATGGAGCGTTGAGGGTTTAGGGCTAGGGTTTAGGGTTTAGGGTTTAGGGTTTAGGGTTTAGGGTTTAGGGTTTGGGGTTTAGGGTTTAGGGTTTAGGGTTTAGGGTTTAGGGTTTAGGGTTTAGGGTTTAGGGTTTAGGGTTTAGGGTTTAGGGCCAGGGTTTAGGGTTTAGGTTTTACCATTTCGGAACCTCGGACGTGCTGCACGGCTTGCAGCTGATCTTGCACGGAATCGCTGTCACCACCAACTGCCTCATCAGCCCAGGTAACGACAGATCCGTCACCGAGGATGGCGGCAAAAGCATGTCGAGAAGCTTGGATGTGCTGCACCTGCTGCAGCTGAGCTTGTGCGGAACTACTGTCACCACCACAGTCCTCATCACCCCAGGTCACGACGGATCCGTCACCGAGGATCGCGGCAAAAGCATGTCGTGAAGCTTCGACGTGCTGCACGCCCTTCAGCTGAGCTTGCACAGAACTGCTGTCACCGCCAAGGTCCTCATCTCCCCAGCTCACGACTGAGCCGTCAAGCAGGATCGCGGCAAAAGCCCTCTCAGCAGCTTGGACGTGCTGCACGCCTTGCAGTTGATCTTGCATGGAATCGCTGTCACCGCCAGCTTCCTCATGGCCCCAGGTAACGACAGATCCGTCACCGAGGACTGCGGCAAAAGCATCTGCAGACGCTGGGATGTGCTGCAACTGCTGCAGCTGAGCTTGCACGGAACTGCTGTCACCTCCAGAATGCTTGTCGCCCCAGGACACGACTGATCCGTCCAGCAGGATTGCGGCAAATGCAGCTACAGAAGACTGGATGTGCTGCACCTGCTTCAGGTGAGCCTGCACGGTCCTCAAGCCATCACCGAGAATCGTCGCACATGCAGGAGCCCATTCTTCCCACCACGACGTACTTACGGCTTGCGGCAGCCGTATTTGCATGTAAAGCTCCTCACGGTTTGGTGTCCCTGCCTGTTTGACTGTCTGTGCAGCGTCCAGCACGCGGCCATTCGCGCTCAACATGGTGGAGGGGGCAGGGAGGAGCAGGAGGGAGAAGGGGCAGGGAGGGGGGGGTTGGGGTGTAGGGCCCGGGTTAAAAGGGGGTTTTAGGGCCTAGGGGGGAGAGAGTTAAGTTTAGAATAGCGTTGAAGGTTGGAGATCATTTCTTGGTGGCCCGATGGCAGAAATCAATCATGGTTCGCAAATTCAGATACAGTATATGCAACAGCTGCGCTGTTATGGTGACTGTGATAATGCGCTCCAGGTCAGCTTGCACGGAACTGCTCAAAATCACTCATCGCCCCAGGTCAAAGCAGATCAGTCACCGAGGAATGCGGCAAAATCAGATGTGCTGCATTTGCTTTATAGCCAATAGCTGCGCTTGCACGGAACTGCTGTAGCCTCCAGAGGTATTAATTCCAGGTAACGACGGATCCATCACCGAGGATCGCGGCAAAAGCACCTTGAGAACCTGAGATGTGCTGCACGCCTTTCAGCTGAGCTTGCACGGAACTGCTGTCACCTCCAGCATGCTTCAAGCCCCAGGACACGACTGATCCATCCAGCAGGATTGCGGCAAATGCATGTTGAGAAGCTTGTACGTGCTGCACCAACTTCAGCTGAGCTTGCACGGAACTGCTGTTGCCTCCATAGGCCACAAGACCCCAAGTGACGACGGATCCATCACCGAGGATTGCGGCAAATGCGGCTTGAGTTGCTTGGATGTGCTGCACGCCTGTCAGCTGAGCTTGCACGGAACTGCTGTCACCTCCACAATTCTCCGCGCCCCAGGTAACGACAGATCCGTCACCAAGGATTCCGGCAAAAGCATGTCGAGAAGCTTGGACGTGCTGCACGCCTATCAGCTGAGCTTGTACGGAACTGCTGTCACCTCCACAATTCCTAGCGCCCCAGGTAACGACAGATCCGTCAACAAGGATTGCGGCAAAAGCATGTCGAGAAGCTTGGACGTGCTGCACGCCTATCAGCTGAGCTTGTACGGAACTGCTGTTACTGCCAAAATCCTCATCACCCCAGGTAACGACAGATCCGTCACTGAGGATCGCGGCAAAAGCACCTGCAGAAGCTTGAATGTGCTGCACGCCTTTCAGCTGAGCTTGCACGGAACTGCTGTCACCCCCAGAACCCTTATCGCCCCAGGACACGACTGATCCGTCAAGCAGGATTGCAGCAAAAGCCCTTGCAGAAGCTTGGACGTGCTGCACCTGCTTCAGCTGAGGTTGCACGGAACTGCTGTCACCTCCAAAGGCCACATTGCCCCAGGTAACAACGGATCCATCAGCGAGGTTGCGGCAAAAGCAGCTTGAGAAGCTTGGATGTGCTGCACGCCTGTCAGCTGAGCTTGCACGGAACTGCTGTCACCTCCACAATTCTCAGCGCCCCAGGTAACGACAGATCCGTCACCAAGGATTGCGGCAAAAGCATGTCGAGAAGCTTGGACGTGCTGCACGCCTGTCAGCTGAGCTTGCACGGAACTGCTGTCGCCCCCAGCACTAGCAGGGCCCGAGGTTTCGACAGACCCATCACCGAGAATCGTGGCAAAGGCAGGCCTCTCTGTGTCCGACCACGACGTAGCTTTGACTTGCGGCAGCTGTATTTGCATGTATAGCTCCTTACCGTTTTGTATCCCTGCCTGTTTGACTGTCTGTGCTGCGTCCAGTACGCGACCATCCGCACTCGACAGCCGCCCCTTGCCAACTGACAGAGCGCTCTGCGCACGTTGGTTCAATTCTTCCACAGGTGCGTCTTCCCGAATCTCGAGAGAAACCCTCTTGCCGCTGAGCAGGTGCACTTCAACCGACACTGCCATGGCCGAAGGAAACCCCAAACACTAAATTAAAGCACTCCCTCTCAAACCGGATCGACACCTTTACCCCATGCGACGCCACAGGGCTTCCGACTCCAGATCAAGAGAACGAGATGTCATCAAATTCGAATGCCGTAGACCCTAAGAACCCCACACCACTGCTTTTGTGCAGCTTAGCTGAGATTATAGAATTTCAGAACCAGGAAGCTGCAACTGAACAAGGAAACTACAACCGCAACCATTGCAAAGCGTTTGGCATTCTCAAGGGAGACCCTATAGGCATCCCAAAAAAGAAACGAAATTTGAAACCCTATAAGCATCCCGTACACCCTAAACCCTAAACCCTACACCCTAAACCCTACAAAGGGTCTTAAAGGGTCCAAGAACTGAAGAAGCCTTCCACCCGGCCCCCCCCCCCCCCCTGGGCTCAAGCCACCGGTTCTCTAACCCTAAACCCTAAACCCTAAACCCTAAACCCTAAACCCTAAACCCTAAACCCTAGCCCTAAACCCTAAACCCTAAACCCTAAACCCTAAACCCTAAACATGAAGGGCCTGTTTCCCTCACCGTGAAGCTGCCCGGCGCAGAAGCGCGACGCCCAGGGTTTAATCCTATACTCTAAGGGGTGTTATAACAAGAGCCTACAAAAAAATGGGTTTTGGTTTCTTAAGCTATACCCCCCCTAAACCCTAAACCCTAAACCCCTAAACCCTAAACCCTAAACCACTACTGCCTCTAACGAAATTCTTCTCCTTGATGCTCTTAGGGGTTTAGGGGTTAGGGTTTACAACAAACCTGTACATTGGGCTTATGGGGGTTGGTACGTTCATAGGGTCAATGGGGCTTACCTTTTCGGGTTATACAGGGGTAGCTCGGGTTCTTGGGACCTCGGATTCACGGCTAACCCGAGGTTCATGGGTAGTTAGAGTTTACGTTTAGGGTTTAGGGGTTACGGTTTATAGGGTTTAGAACTTAGGGTGGAGTCCTCCGCAGCGGTTTCCCCGCAAAAATAACCTCCAAGTACAGGGGGCTTCCAGGGTTGACTTCTATACGGAGTCCTCTGAAATGGTTTAGAGTTTGGGGTTTAGGGTTTTAGGGCACATTAAATGGCCTGGGACAATCACATGGGGGGGGGGGGCTTCCGAAATTAGCGGTGGCTTATTGGTCCTGATTATAAGTGGGATCCTACTATTTGGGGGTCTATATTAGGGGGTCCCCCTATTTTCGTAAACCCCCATATCTACCATGAACGTCCAAGTAGAGTTTAGTGTGTGAAGGGTGGAGGGTTTGGGGTCTTGGTGGTTAGGGGTTCGGATTAAGCGTAGGTCGCTTAGGGTGGGGGTTCCGGGGGGGGAAGGCAACTACGTAATCATAGGCAGGCTTTGTCTTCGGGAGCCTAACACAGTCTGCAAAGTTTGCAGCACGCCACAAGCTCAGAACCCACTTTGGACTGAATTTTGTGTGGCCGGAAGAACAGGAATCAATCACGGATCGCAGCTTCGTGTGATGCCGCACCCCACAGCTGAGCCTGCACGGCACTATTGTCACCACCACAATCCTCATTGCCCCAGGAGACGACAGATCCGTCAAGCAGGATCGCGGCAAAAGCCCTTCTAGAAGCTTGGACGTGCTGCACGCCTTTCAGCTGAGCTTGCACGGAACTGCTGTCACCTCCAGAATGCTTCGCGCCCCAGGACACGACTGATCCATCCAGCAGGATTGCGGCAAAAGCACTTGCAGAAGCTTGGACGTGCTGCACCTGGTTCAGCTGAGACTGCACGGACCAGCTGTCACCACCACAATCCTCATCGCCCCAGGACACGACAGATCCGTCAAGCAGGATCGCGGCAAAAGCCTTTCTAGAAGCTTGGACGTGCTGCACGCCTTTCAGCTGAGCTTGCACGGAACTGCTGTCACCTCCAAAATCCTCATCGCCCCAGGTCACGACAGATCCGTCGAGCAGGATTGCGGCAAAGGCCATTTTAGAAGCTTGGATGTGCTGCACGCCTTTCAGCTGAGCTTGCACGGGACTGCTGTCGCCTCCACCAAGGATGGTCGCCCCAAGTCACGACAGACCCGTCGAGCAAGATTGCGGCAAAAGCCCTTATAGAAGCTTGGATGCTCTGCACACCTTGCAGCTGAGCTTGCACGGAACTGCTGTCACCACCAAAATAAGCAGCACCCCAGGTAACGACAGATCCGTCACCGAGGATCGCAGCAAAAGCACCTGCAGAAGCTTGGATGTGCTGCACGCCTTTCAGCTGAGCTTGCACGGAACTGCTGTCACCGCCAAGTTCCTCATCTCCCCAGGTCACGACGGATCCATCAGCAAGGATCGCGGCAAATGCAGCTGAAGAAGACTGGATGTGCTGCACCCGCTTCAGCTGAGCTTGCACAGAACTACTGTCGCCACCACGGTCCTCATCACCCCAGGTCACGACGGATCCATCACCGAGGATCGCGGCAAAAGCATGTCGAGAAGCTTGGACGTGCTGCACGCCTTTCAGCTGAGCTTGCACGGAACTGCTGTCGCCCCCAGCACTAGCATCGCCCGAGGTTACGACAGAACCATCACCGAGAATCGTGGCAAAGGCAGGAGCCCATTCATCCGACCACCACGTAGCTGTGACTTGCGGCAGCCGTACTTGCAGGTATAGCTCCTCACCGTTCCGTATACCTGCCTGCTTGACTGTCTCTGCTCCATCCAATACGCGACCATCCGCACTCAACAGCCGCCCCTTGCCAGCTGACAGAGCGCTCTGGGCACGTTGGTTCAATTCTTCCACAGGTGCATCTTCCTGAATCTCGAGAGAAGCCCTCTTGCCGCTGAGCAGATGCACCTCAACCGAAATTGCCATGGCCGAGGGACACCCCAATACACTGAAGCAGCCCCTCTCAAACCGGATCGACACCTTTACCCCATGTGAAGCCCCAGGGCTTCCGATTCCAGATCTAAGAGAAGAAGACGTGAACAAAACACAGGAAAGTTGTTGTGTAGCTTGAGTGCAAGAGGAAACGACAGCAGCAACCTACCGCCGCATAGTGTTTGGCATTCGCAAGACAAACCCCCAAGCATCCCATGAACGCTAAACCCTAAACCCTAGGCCCTAAACCCTAAACCACCCTTAGCCCTAAACCCTAAACCCCAAACCCGAAACCCTAGGCCCTAGACCCTAAACATCCCTAAAACCTAAACCGCGTAAACCCTAGACCCCCCCCCCCCCCCAAAAAAAAAAAGCTATGCCCAAAGCATCCCCACCACCCTTAAATCTAGACGTTGAACTTGTAGCTTGAGCCGCACCTATGGCCCAGGAGCGTTTAGGCTTTCGTGTTTGGGCTTTAGGCTTTGGGGGTTGATATACCATCTTACTTACATCTCAATCAATACTAACAAACAACACTTTCCACCGCAATACTCGACACATTATGGAACATTGGGTGACCTAACCCTCCCTCACCCCGTCCTGAAGCCCCCTCCTTGAAAGGACTCCCCATCTCGACCCTGACCTCTAAACCCAAAGGTTTGGGGTTTAGGGTTTAGGGTTTAGCGTGCCTAAACATGCCGTTCAACCGGCGAAGAATTGAACGGCTGAAGGGTTTTTACAAACTAGGAAGATTTCAACACAACAAGGAACATTTATAACATTACTTGTAACAATAATAATAGTCATAATATCAAAATAATCATAATATAGATAGTACAAATAACACCGAACCCTGATCTGCTCCTCCTCACACGCGAGAGAGTTTTTCAAACCCAACTAACTTAAAACTTCGCGAGGTCACAAACATTTAGCTGGCACATCCAGGCTATACCGAACTCCCTCGAGAACTCTGTTTAGAAATCCGGGGGTGGGGGATGGGGGTGAGAGTTTTTAGGGTTTAGGGTTCCTAAGCCCTAAACCCTAAACCCTAAACCCTAAACCCTGAACCCTAAACCTGAACCCAACCCTGGGCGTCGCTCTTCTGCGCCGGAAGCTTCACGGTGAGGGAAACAGGCCCTTCAGGTGTAGTGTTTAGGGTTTAGGGTTTAGGGCTTCGGGTTTAGGGTCTGGCCTGGGATAAACCTAAACCCTAAACCCTAAACCCTAAACCCTATACCCCGAAAGACTACTGCCTCTAACGGAATCTTCTTCTTTGATACTCTTAGGTTTCATGCCTTCCGGCACGGCGCCCCCCCCCCCCCCCCCCGGTTTAGGGTTTAGGGTTTAGGGCTTAGGGTTTCGGGGTTAGGGTTTACAACAAACCTGTACATTGGGCTTATGGGGGTTAGTACGAGGGTCAACAGGGCTTACCTTTTCGGGTTATATAGGGCTAGCTTGGGTTCTTGGGACCTCGGATTCACGGCTAACCCGAGGTTCATGGGTAGTTAGAACTGGGATTCTACCTAGGGTAAGTGTGGCAAAAACCTGGCTACGAACCCTGCGCCCGAAACCCGAAACCGTAAATCCTACAAACTTTAAACCCTAAACCCTACCTCCTAAAGCCTGAACCACGTTAAGTGCGCCTCATGACTCAAGGGGACTCCCTAAACCCTAAACCCTAAACCCTAAACCCTAAACCCTATAAACCCTAAACCCTAAACCCTAAACCCTAAACCGTGTAAGGGGGCCCCATTATCGGAAGCCTTCGGGAGCCTTGCGGGAAGGCCCTGGGGAGGTCTGCGTGAAATCAAGCTCCACATCCATTTAGGTTTAGGGTTCAGGGGTTAGGGTGTAGGGTTTAGAATTTTGGAGTTAGGGTTTAGGGTTTAGGGTTAGAGTTTAGGGTTTAGGGTTTAGGGGTTACGGTTTATAGGGTTTATAGGGTTTAGGGTGGAGTCCTCCGCAGCGGTTTCCCCATACTTATAACCTCCAAGTACAGGGGGCTTCCAGGGTTGACTTCTATACGGAGTCCTCTGAAGTGGGTTAGTGTATAGGAGTCCTCTGAAGCGGTTTGGAATTTGAGGGTTTAGGGTTTTAGGGCACTTTAAATGGCCTGGGACAATCACATGGGGGGGGGTTCCGAAACTAGCCGTGTAGCTTATTGGGGTCCTCATTATAAGTGGGATCCTACTATTTGGGGGTCTATATTAAGGGGTCCCCTATTTTCGTAAACCCCCATGTCTACCATGAACGTCCAAGTAGAGTTTAGTGTGTGAAGGGTGGAGGGTTTGGGGTCTTGGTGGTTAGGGGTTCGGATTAAGCGTACGTCCCTGAGGGTGGGGGCTTCCGGGGGGGGAAGGCAACTACATGTAATCATAGGCAGGCTTTGTCTTCGGGAGCCTAACACAGTCTGCAAAGTTTGCAGCACGTCACAAGCTCAGAACCCACTCTGCACTGTACTTTTGTGTGGCCGGATCAACAGGAATCAACCACGGATCGCAGCTTCATGTGATGCCGCACCCCGCAGGTGAGCTTGCATGGCACCGCTGTCACTGCCACAATCCTCATCGCCCCACATCACGACAGATCCGTCAAGCAGCATCGCGACAAAGGCCCTTTTAAAAGCTTGGACGTGCTGCACGCCTTTCAGCTGAGCTTGCACGGAACGGCTGTCACCCCCAGAACCGTTATCGCCCCAGGACACGACTGATCCATCCAGCAGGATTGCGGCAAAAGCATGTTGAGAAGCTTGGACGTGCTGCACGCCTGTCAGCTGAGCTTGCACAGAACTGCTGTCGCCTCCACCAAACTCATCACCCCAGGTCACGACGGATCCATCACCGAGGATCGCGGCAAAAGCATTTTGAGAAGCTTGGACGTGCTGCACGCCTTTCAGCAGAGCTTGCACGGAACGGCTGTCACCGCCAAAATCCTTATGGCCCCAGGACACGACAAATCCGTCGAGCAGGATTGCTGCAAAAGCAATTGCAGAAGCTTGGATGTGCTGCACGCCTTTCAGCTGAGCTTGCACGGAACTGCTGTCACCTCCACAATCCTTATCGCCCCACGTCACGACAGACCCGTCGAGCAAGATCGCAGCAAAAGCCCTCATAGAAGCTTGGATTCTCTGCACACCTTGCAGCTGAGCCTGCACGGAACTGCTGTCACCGCCGCAATCCTCATCACCCCAGGTAACGACAGATCCGTCAAGCAGGATCGCGGCAAAAGCACCTGCAGAAGCTTGGATGTGCTGCACGCCTTTCAGCTGAGATTGCACGGAACTGCTGTCACCCCCAGAGCCCTTATCGCCCCAGGACACGACTGATCCACTCAGCAGGATTGCGGCAAAAGCATTTGCAGAAGCCTGGACGTGCTGCACCTGCTTCAGCTGAGCTTGCACGGAACTGTTGTCGCCTCCACCAAACTCATTGCCCCAGGTCACGACAGATCCGTCAAGCAGGATTGCGGCAAATGCACTTGCAGAAGCTTGGATGTGCTGCACGCCTTTCAGCTGAGCTTGCACCGAACTGCTGTCGCCCCCAGCACTAGCATCGCCCGAGGTTCCGACAGAACCATCACCGAGAATCGTGGCAAAGGCAGGAGCCCATTCATCCGACCACGACGTTTCTGTGACCTGCGGCAGCCGTACTTGCAGGTATAGCTCCTCACCGTTCCGTATACCTGCCTGCTTGACTGTCTCTGCTCCATCCAATACGCGACCATCCGCACTCAACAGCCGCCCCTTGCCAGCTGACAGAGCGCTCTGGGCACGTTGGTTCAATTCTTCCACAGGTGCATCTTCCTGAA